ACTAAGGATTAAAAGAATATAACAATGATATAATAATTGATTATCACAATACCTTCAGAATCAACATAATTGATTATGACAACAAGAAAAAAAAATTTGATTCTGATAATCAATTAGTTGCTCAAACTATCATCTAGACATGTATAAATACTTTGTTCCTTTAGGCACCCATTCATATTTGCCATTAGATATGCCAAAATGTTTTATGTAACATCTATTTGATGTATGACCTAATTTCATGCAATAAAAACATGTTGGTTTTCTTTGAAAATGTCTAAATGAGTTTCTTAAAGTTTTTGAAACTGGTTTCACATCTATTTTCCTTGACTCTTTCACAAAAATAGTTTTATGAGGTTCTAGACTTTCTTTGGGTTTGTAACCAAGTCCAGCTTTGCTAGAATTCCCTCTTTGATAACCTAATATAAAATCAAGATTTTCAGAAGATTTTGAAAACTTGTTTATTATTTTCGCTAACTTGAAAATCTCGTTTTTCAAAAGATTATAATTTTCACAAGGTTTAGCAACTTCTTTATTTTTAGACAAAGTTTTAAATTTCTCAACATCTTTCTTTAAGAACTCATTTTCTTTTTCAAGAATACCAACAGTATTTTCTAATGCATTAAACTTTTTCCTAAGTGCATTGTATTTCTTAAATAACTTGGTAAAAGCTTCATACATATCTTGGTATTATTTAAATAACTCATCATATTCATTTAAGGAATTTGTACTACTTACTTGTGATGAGGCTTCATCATCACTTTTTGTCATCAAGCAAATATTTGCTTCTTCTTCTCCATCACTGTTTTCAGAAGAACTCTCTTGTGTTGTGGAAGAATCATTATCCTCCCAAGCAATATAAGCTTTGCATTTGCTCTTATAGGTATCGTTCTTCTCTTTCTTCTTCTCTTTCACATCGTTCTTCTCTTTCTTAAGTTTCGGACAGTCTGGTTTGATATGACCAGATTTTTCACATTCATAGCAATGAAATTTATTTGTTTTCTCCTTTCTTTGTTGTCTCTTTTTCCTATTCTTTATAAAGCGAGAAAATTGTTTAACAAAAAGAGACATATCGGAGTCCGAAAACTTACCTTCATTTTCGCTTTCGTCTTGTGAAGATTTTTCTGCTTTTAGAGCTATTGTCTTGGTTTGATTTTGTTCACCGTTCTTTAACCTTTGTAGCTCCATCTCATGTTCTTGCAGCTTTCCAAATAGAGTAGCAATATTCATTTTTGTGAGATCCTTTGATTTTGTAATAGCAGTGACCTTTGGTTATCAATTCCTGTCTAAGGATTTCAAGATCTTTGTGTTCAACTCCTCATTGTCAAAACTTTTCCTAATGTTTTCAAGTTATTTACTATATGTGTGAAGCGTGTTTGGAAATCCGTGATGCTTTCATTTTGCTGCATTTGAAATAATTCATACTCCTGGATGAGTGTGTTCTTATGTGCTCGCTTTACTTCATTTGTTCCTTCATGTGTTACTTCAAGAGTGTCTCATATTTCTTTTGCCGTCTTGCATTGTGAGACCCTGAAAATTTCATTACGAGTTAAGGCAGAAACAATAGCGTTTCGGGCTCTTACATCATATTGGGCACGCTTGTTTTCATTTGGCGTCCATTGATCAAAAGTCTTTGGAACAGCTCCAGACTCCGTTGTTCTCATTGGAATGTAAGGACCATTGAGTACAGCATCCCAAACACCGTAATCTAGTGTTTGTAAAAATATTTCCATTCTCGCCTTCCAAAACTGATAGTCTTCTCCTTCAAATAATGGTGGTCTGTTTATTGAGGCTCCTTTCCTGTAAACCTGATTCTGCATAGACATCTTGAGAGATCGTTTAGAAATATCTTGTCTAACCAAGCTCTGATACCACTTGTTAGACAAATGACATCTAGAGGGGGGTGAATAGATGCACAAATTAAAATAGATGTCAAATTAAAAATTTATTTGTGAGTCAATAATTTGTTTGAACACAGATAAAACGGAAGTGATAATATAATCAGGAAAAGAGAAAGAGATAAGGGAAAGAGAAGAGCACACAGTAATTTATACTGGTTCGGGTATAGTCAACCCTACATCTAGTTCCCAGTCAACTCTTAACACAAGAGTGACTCCCAATTCACTATCTTTCAAATTCAGTTTACAAATTACAATCAACTCAGCAGAAGAACCAGTAAAAAGTAAACTAATTAAAAAGACAATCACTTCCTTAGAAACCCACTAAGGATGAACACCTCCCTAGAATCCCACTAGGGATGAACACCTCCTTTGAACAAATCAAAGGATGAAAAAACACCTCCTTAGAATCCCACTAAGGATGAACACCTCCCTAGAATTACACTAGGGATGAAAACCTCCTTTGAACAAATCAAAGGATGAAAACACCTCCTTTGCCACCAATACACAAAGGATGAAGGTAATAAAAATAAGAACAGACACACCTGGGTAATGGAGACAACAAATTGTAGAAGCCTGTAGAATGTCAATCTCCAAGAACAAGTGTGATTAACAATGAAAGCACAACAGGCAGTAGAGAAGAGGGTTTTCTCAAAAGGTGTAAAATATCTTGGTTGCCTTGCTCGAATTCTTTTCTCAAAACTGATTGAATGTAAATTGTATTTTCGAATTCCGTAATTGTGTATTTTTTATTTTTCATCAAAACTTAATTAAATAGAAAAATAGCACCAGTAAAATGGTTGTTGGACATTAATAATATCATAGAGAAAATCACGATTATTAAAAAATATTTATTCTTTAAAACGGATATATTTTTCAAATTTGAATTGTCATAATTGATTATATTACCGAGTATAATTAATTATGATAGAGAAAATCATTTTTCCATTTCTGATGCATCATAATTAATTATGACAGAGAAAAATATCATGTTATGAATTTTATCACACTTGTGCTTTTGAGGCTTATGCATAATATTACTTTATCAACTTGTACCTCCGTATGCGGTATTCTAAGACTCTATCTAGTCTTCGGGAATTATCTTGAGCTTGCTTGAATCATCATCTTTATCAAAATCATATCTTGGGCATGTATGGAAATGTTTCACATTTTCACCAACGTCATAAATTCAGCTTGTCCTTAATTCATCTTGAATGGTGTTGACTTGAATGTAGTTGACTTGAATCATTATCAAAATCACCTCTTGGTAATATAGGGGCATTTTCATCAATCTCCCCTCATTGCTTTCACATACAACTCCTTTTTATTAATATAATAATAATAATAATAATAAGATTTAATAAAAATAAAAATACATGTATATTATTATTATAATATTAAAAAGCGAGTTGTTTTCTAGAGTTGTATAAAATTCGGATGTCAAACAATCATTTTTTAATTAGGACAGTGATAATTTGACATCGCATTTTTCAAACAACTTCTCATACAACTCCTTTTTATTAATATAATAATAATAATAATAAGATTTAATAAAAATAAAAATACATGTATATTATTATTATAATATTAAAAACAATTGTCTTCTAGAGTTGTATAAAATTTAGATGTGAAACAATCATTTTTGAATTAAAAGGACAGTGATAATGTGACATCCCATTTTTAAAACAACTTCTCATACCACTCCTTTTTATTAACATAATAATAATAATAATAATAAGATTTAATAAAAATAAAAATACATGTATATTATTATTATAATATTAAAAAGCAGTTATTTTCTAGAGTTGTATAAAATTCAAATGTGAAACAATCATTTTTAAATTAAAAGGACAGTAATAATTTATTTTATAAAAACAACTATTTTTTAATTAAATCGTTTTCGTTACATTTGTAAATTGATATTTTTTACTCTTTAATTTCTCAATTCCTAATTTTTTTTATGTTTTGACCTTTTCAAAAACTAAAAAAATGACACTTATAATATGTCTTTTTCGATTATTATATTTATTTCTTCTAATTATTCTATATCCTTTTTTTCTTTATTTATTCTTTTGATTTTTTTTATTTTAGACTTAACCCATGTGTAATAGTTGAACATAAAATCACTTTATTAAAAAATAATTCTTGCATAATTTTACCCATTATTATTATTATTATTTTGAAGATTATCCATGACAGGGACCACCACTTCATTTCTACACATTTGCAACATATGGCTAGCTTTTACCTTGTATTCAATAATCTACTCTCGAGCGCACTAATCTAATAGGACTAACATCGTTTTCGTTGCGTTAACCTTTTTCTTTTCTCCATTACTAAAACGAGTCTCGACAAAAAAAAAAAAAAAAAAACTATAAAAAAAAAAAATATTATCTATGCAAATAAAATTATATTAGTCATCCACGGTAGAACGGAAAGTCAACGTAAAGGAGTAACGAAGATTCGTGAAGAAACGAAAGAAAAGATAATTTTTAATTAAGAATGGAATTCCAGAAATAACCCTACGGTAAAAACTATGTTGATAAATAATAAATTGTATATGTGAGTAACTACTATGATACAAATTTCCTATTTTTAATTTTAAAGATGATTACCTCTACCAGTTTCAGATATGAAAACAATAATTTACTTCTTACAATGATGGCACTAAGAATCTATATCATCACTCCAACTTTCACTTGAGTGCTAGGACCCTCTGTAGTGATTCTTCAGCGGTGATCTTAGCCGTTGGATTTTTACATCCAATGGTTATTATAAAATGAGAGTATAAAAATGATTGTATAATTAAATATGAAAGATTAATATGTTACTGATAAGTTCATTATTGATGTTCATTGCAGTAGTACGTGCTCATAATAATGCAACTTAGAACAAAAGAAATGGCTAGAAAGCTTTAAAACAAAAAGGTTGAAAAACAAAAGAAAAAGTTTGGTTGTGTCCTGAAAAGCAAAAGCTGTGCCAGGCACATTTCCCAATATCAAAGGAGAAGGTTTAAGCGGTAAAACAAAAAAAGATTGGCTATATATGCATTATAGCTGCTAGTACATGCATCACAGAGCAGTTCCCAAAGATCACTTCAAAATAATGCCCACCTCCGTTTTTCTCCTTCTTTCCTCATTTCTTCTTTTCGTTTTCTTGCTGGAAGCTGTTCATGGCAGCAAAAAGGCAAGCAAGCTTGTTTCGCTTATTGCTCATTCATTTAGCACTAATTTGTACCTGTTGATATTTGCTTCTGATGCTGCTGAGTTTCCCATCATTGATTTGCTTCTTCATCATCGAATCTCTGGTTTTGTTTACAGTGTTACATTGTGTACATGGGAGCACACTCTCATGGTTCCAACCCTACTTCTGTTGACCTCGAAATTGCTACGGATTCTCATTATGATTTACTTGGTTCAATCATGGAAAGGTATAAAATCATGGTTTATCGCGTAAATTTTTTCCTTCATTAATTATTGTCCAAGTGTACACTAAATTTTCATGGCCCACTTATATAGTATTAAATAATTAAAGAGTTTGGATACACAACAAAGTCTCATACTATAATAAGTTTTATGAATAAAGCCATACAAAAATAAGGAATATATTCTTTTGTAAATAATATTAATAATCGAAAAATCATTAAAAGAACAATGAACAAATATAATTACGGGAAATAAAAAAAATCATTGGAAGGAATCTTTTGAAGATTGACTATTTTAAAATAAGTTATTCTATATATTTTTTTTTACTTAGATGTCCTTCTCTCGTAGCCTTTTACATTTGAAGCATGTAAACTATACGTAAGTATATTTATTTTGTGTTGAAATTAAACCTTTTTCTATTATAATTGACTAGAAAAAAAGTTATTAAAAAAAAAAAGTATGATAACAAGATAACTCTAAAATCACTTATAGTGTGCTATTGTGTAATTGTTCGTTGATAGTAAAGGTAGCTTTCTGAAAGCCACTCCGTTATTATTGTCTCAAACATAAATTTTAGAGGCAGTTAAATATTTGGAACATGCGCTTAATTTGTGTAGATATTCTGATTTTATGTTACAAGCTAATAAACCATAAAAGTTTGAAGTCTGGTAGATGAAGAAATAATACTAAGGTGAACTGTGCTCCTTTGACAGTGAGGAGAAAGCAAAAGAAGCAATGATTTACTCATACAATAGACACATAAATGGCTTTGCTGCATTACTTGAGGAGGAAGAAGCAGCAGATATTGCAAGTGAGCACGCTCTGGCTAGCTTCCATTCACCCACTCTTTTTCATTTTTTTCTTTTGTTTCAAATTAGTTTGTGACACAATGTTTCCAATGAGGCAGAAAACCCTAACGTGGTGTCAGTGTTCTTGAGCAAAAAATATAAACTGCACACTACCCGCTCTTGGGAATTTCTTGGACTGCAGAGAAATGGTAAGAACTCTGCATGGCAAAAGGGAAGCTTTGGTGAAAATACAATCATTGCTAACATTGACACTGGTAAGCTTTATTATTTATTATATTCTATTCTCATTAAATATGAACTCCTCAAATAATCTTTATTGATACATAGATTCTTATCTTTTCATCAAATTTTATTTTATTTTAAGTGAATGATGTTACATCATATTTAGGACATTATATTGCCTGTTATGTTTGTATCTTTCTCACTTGTTTTTCTATATGTCAGCTAGCATTTAGGTGTCCATGCATGACTTTTTAGAGCACACTCCCGACACAAGGAGGAACTTTCAAAGAAAAAAATTGTTGAATTGACGTTAAATGTCATTTTAAATTGAAAAGCAGGATACTATTAACACCGACATGATTAATCAGAAGTTAAGAAAGCTGACTCAGATTTTGTATTGGGTCGTCGGTCCAAAGTGAAAGTTTTGGTTTGATCTAAAAAATATAAATATTTATGCATTAATTCTTTAATCTTGTGTTTGTCCTTGAAAAGGTGTTTGGCCCGAATCACAGAGCTTCAATGATAAAGGTTATGGTCCCATTCCATCCAAATGGCGCGGTGGTAATGTTTGTCAAATTAACAAACTTCCACGCACCAAGACAAATCTATGCAACAGGTTAGCTTTTCACTCTTCACAACAAATGATAATAATTGAGATGAAATAAAAAAATAATTTTGTGGTACCGATTAAAATTTACTTTTATAATTAGAAGACATAATCTATTGTAAATTTTGATTTTTTTATTTTTTTATTTTATGTTTGATTTCAGTCTCTCTACTATGGCTTTAAACTACTGCAAACTTACCACCTTTTTTCTTCTTCTTTGCCATCTACATCTTCTTAGTTACCGAGAAAGACAATGATTTTTTTTGCTATTATTTATGTGTGGGTGTAAACAGAAAGCTGATAGGAGCAAGATTCTTTAACAAAGCTTTCGAGGCATACAATGGCGAACTTGTTCCGGCGCTGCAAACAGCGCGTGACTTCATGGGGCATGGGACCCACACTCTATCAATCGCAGGGGGCAATTTCGTCCCAGGTGCAAGCGTATTCGCGGTGGGGAATGGCACCGCAAAGGGTGGGTCTCCGAGAGCACGAGTTGCAGCGTACAAAGTGTGTTGGTCTCTGACGGACCCAGAAGGTTGTTATGGCGCCGATGTGTTGGCTGCCATCGACCGAGCCATCGACGACGGTGTTGATGTGATAAATCTTTCAGTTGGTGGCAATTACGTTGTGAGCCCCGAGGGAATATTCACTGACGAGGTTTCGATTGGGGCCTTCCATGCAATTGCTAGAAACATAGTGGTGGTTGCCTCTGCAGGGAACGACGGAGCAACGCCTGGTTCTGTCGTCAATGTCGCTCCTTGGGTCTTCACTATTGCTGCCAGCACCATAGACAGAGATTTTACCAGCAATATAACCATTAACAACAACCAGCAATTCGAGGTACCTTCCTTCTTCTAACTAAAACGTGTCTAATCATTATTCTAATTAAATCTTAAATAATCTAATTAACAAGAACTTACCTCATGTTTAAGTATTTAAGGATTTTTCTTAAGTAAAAAGGCCAAAAGTTTTGGTTAGTGGTTCACAAAGTAACGACGTGATAATATGTGATTTTGGTTTTTCATTTTGAATTTCATGATTTTGTTTAATCTTCTACCTTAGTCCATCCTTAACTAAATAATTAATGGTGAAGTGTCGGTAAAGTACTGTCGTGATTGATATGCAGAGGGCTGGTGTGCCCGTAATATTGTGATGGATAAATATACATATTGAATTGGTGCTGTAAAGTCCGACAGAGATAGATTTAACCATAGAAACTCGTAAGAAACTTAAATTAAAAAATATTTTATTTTTATATCATATTTTTAAAATATAACAAACTAAATAATTCACTTTTTTGTTTGTATTTTCTGGCATTCTAACGTAAGCTTAGTGTTGCGTATAATCAAGATTGTATTATATACACTGCAGGGAGCCAGTCTTTTTGTAAACTCACCGAATCAGGCATTTTCTCTGATCCTCTCCACTGATGCTAAACTTGCTAATGCAACATTTCGAGACGCGTAAGTACAAAACCTCACAAGCTTAATATGCTTCAAAACACCTTGCTTATTAGTATATCAATGTTTCTTACATTCTTCTTCTTGTTTACATGTATGTATGTGTATATATATTGGTGCAGTCAACTGTGTAGGCGTGGAACACTTGATCCTACAAAAGTAAAGGGCAAAATAGTGCGTTGTATTCGAGATGGGAAAATAAAATCAGTTGCTGAGGGCAATGAAGCTCTATCTGCAGGCGCACAGGGAATGTTTTTGGGCAATCAAAAGCGAAATGGAAAAACAACTTTTGGCGAGCCTCATGTTCTGTCCACTGTGGGCACCAGTGATGGCCATTCAGGGGGACAGAGTGATTTTTTCTTAACTGCAACGTGATTATATATCCATCATGCACTTCAAAATTGTTTACAGTTTTCAAAGGACTCGTTATAAACAAATGCTCCATTTTCTTATACATGCACACACATGTACTTTTTGCAGAGACCCTATAAAATCAGGTGCTACCATAAGAATGTCCCCAGCAAAGACGTTATTTGGAAGAAAGCCAGCTCCAGTTATGGCTTCATTCTCATCTAGAGGACCCAATAAGATTCAGCCATCAATACTCAAGGTGCAGCATATCCACATCAGTTATAATTAACATATAATTGATTGATTTGTTATAAGCAACTATATACTACTCTCTCTATATATATGTGTATATGTTTTTTGGATGAGACTCTTGTTTTGGTTTGGTTTCAGCCTGATGTGGCCGCACCCGGTGTGAACATACTTGCTGCCTATTCAGAATTCGCAAGTGCATCAAGCTTGCTGACAGACAAACGTCGTGGGTTTAAATTCAACGTATTGCAAGGAACTTCTATGTCTTGTCCTCATGTTGCTGGCATTGCTGGACTTCTCAAAACACGTCATCCTAGTTGGAGTCCTGCTGCTATTAAATCAGCAATCATGACCACAGGTGTGATCTTTAATTTCATAAGTTATGTAAATAGATGAGAGAGAAAATTTATATTATACATATATGTATTGGTGGGATGTGTTGGAATGACTTATGTTTTTATTGGTAGAGTCAATATTTGAAATAAAATTGGATTAACATGATTTGTTGGTACAATACATTAAAATAAATGATATCAATATGAAATATAATATTTTTTTAAAAACAATCTTTATTAAGTCAAAATTATATTATTAACATGTTGATCAAAATATACTTTAAAAAATATATACGTAACGTTAGATAGGATTAAGATGATAAAATGTATAATCTGAATTTGTTCTCAACATGTACTCGGTCTAATTCTTAAACTGGAATTTGTCAAAAAAACCTGCTAGATGCGTTTCAGTGATAATGTATGCATGTCTTTGCAGCAACGACGCGTGACAACACAAACAGGCCAATACAGGATGCGTTTGCAAAAACACTGGCAACTCCCTTTGCTTATGGTTCAGGACATGTTCGACCTGACCTTGCCATAGATCCTGGCCTTGTTTACGATCTAGGCCTCACTGATTACTTGAACTTCTTATGTGCTTCTGGATATGACCAACAACTCATTTCTGCACTCAATTTCAATAGAACTTTCATTTGTTCAGGCTCTCACAGCGTAACGGACTTGAACTACCCTTCAATCACGTTGCCAAATCTTGACTTAAAAGCCGTAACCATTACTCGCACGGTAACAAATGTTGGAACACCAAGCACGTACACAGCAAGTACCCAATTGCCTGGATATAACATTGTTGTTGTGCCAAATTCCTTGACTTTCAGTAAAATTGGTGAGAAAAAGGCATTCAAGGTTACTGTGCAGGCAAGCAGTGTGACTAAGCGGAGAACTTATCAATTTGGAGAATTGCGATGGACAGATGGAAAGCATATAGTGAGGAGTCCTATTACGGTAAAGCGCAAATGAAATTTCCCTATGGAGTTGGTTGTGTTGGGATCCTTACTTATCATAGTATTGCGTGGATGCATGCATAATCAAATGTAAGTTTGACTCTAGCTAGGATCTCATCTCATGTTATGGTATGATTGTGTTTTTCCTGGGATATTGTCTGCCTTTTCGGTTTTCTCGCTATCACTGTATGATGTATTGCGTGTTTTATGTATAATAATAACAACAATAATGGAGATGAGGGTAGACAAGTTCACATTTCATGCCAACTTTCTCCTCAAATGTGGGTGCAATGGAGATGCTTTTACAGCATTATCATTGTGAGTTTAATCTAAAGCCTGTATTTACTTTCTAATCTTAAAATTACATTTTTAGAAATTTCTCAGTGAAACAACGTCAGGAATTTAGACAGTAATCTAAATCACTCTGAGAAGAATTATCTCAGAATTTGGTTTACACAAGAATAAAAAGGAAACAAAATACTAGAGTATTCCGATGATTCAGCGGAGTTGTCCCAGTCTGGTCATTGGAAATTGGTGAGCCAAAGGTGATTTTCCTGTTCCCAATGCCTTGGATACTCGATCCATGGTTGGGCGAGAACGTGGATTTTCATTCAAGCAAGCAAGTGCTAACCTTACGATTAAGATCACCTCTCCATCAATTGGTTTTCTAGGTTGAGGAGGCCGTTGATCTAAAACATCAGCCAATAGCAAGTCATTAACAATTGGTGTCATAGATTGTGACATAAGTTGAGAAATGAGATCTCTTGGATGTTTTCCCATAATGATTTCCAAAGCAAGTATTCCAAAGCTATAAACATCACATTTCTCATTTACTTCCATTGTCTGGGCCAACTCTGCGAATAGTTAAACAAAAAGATATTTTAGAGTAATGTTAAGCATAAAGCAATGCGCGCGGGTTATATACAATAAAGTGTAGTCGATAGCATTATCTAAACAGATCATGTATTTGCTGATAACTTGTTTTCACCTTTTTGGCATGGGGGAACCAATCTATATCTATGTATGGAGATGGAGTTTCAAGGTAAAAAGAGTGGTGTAAATGAAAAATGCAGTCACTATTTTAAGTTGTAAATATGAGGGAAAAGGGTCTAACCTGGAGCAGCATACCCAAAGGTGCCTGCGAATTGTGTCCATCTATCTGAGCTTGGCTTCAAAAACTTAGCAGTCCCAAAGTCAGAGATATGAGCTTCATACCCAAGATCCAAGAGAACATTTTTACTTGATATGTCCCGATGAACAATAGGAGGTGAGCAATCATGGTGCAAATAGGATAAAGCATTGGCCACACCTTTAACAACATTCACCCTCTTTTCCCAATCAAATGCAGTTGCTTGTGTATCTCTGTTCAGCAATTGATCCAGGCTACCCCCTTCCATGAACTGATAAACCAAAAATGAGACCTGAGAATGTGAGCAAAATCCACGCAACTTTATAATATTCCGATGTTTGATTTCTGTCAAGGCTTGAATCTCACTTGTAAAAGCCTTCAAACTAAAATCTGACATTTTCTCATCTATCACCGAATGAAGTTTCTTCACAGCAATAACCAAACCTGACGGCAACACCACCTTGTAAACATATCCTTGACTTCCTGCTCCAATAAGATATTTGTCATCAAAATTCTCTGTAGCTTCAATGATACTGTCAAACATGATTTTCCCATCATAGCTCCATATGGAAAAGAGTACTTCTCTTGGTGCTTCTTCAGAATTAGAATGACTTTTTGCCTTTCTTTTACCACGACAAAAAGTATACATTGAAAGTGCCAACCCACACAACACTAGTACTAAAGCTCCTAAACTAAGTAGGATGACTTTGTTTCTCTTTCGATTTTGGTTGATTGGACAAAGAACCAAACCCGTGACGTTACCACACAAGCCTTTATTATTTTTCAGTGATTCAATGGGAGCATCAAGAAAAAGTGGAATATTTGGAATTGGCCCTTCTAATTGGTTGTCTGATAGGTTGAAAATACTCAACATTCTGTTAAAAGTTGAAGGAATGGTGCCAGAAAGACTATTATGTGAGAGATTCAACATGAACAAGCTTTGCAACTCTCCAAGATTTGTTGGTATTGTTCCACTCAACAAATTGGCACTGAGATCAAGAGATACTAAGGATTGACTGAACTGAGAGGGAATGCTTCCGTAAATTTTGTTTTTGCTAAAATTCAAATTCCGTAACTTGTGCAATTTCACAACTTCTACTGGTATTGTGCCAGTCAATTCGTTATCTCCCAGATCCAAATCTTCAAGATTTTGCAGTAATCCAAATTCTGTTGGAATGTTTCCGGAAAGATGATTATTGCTAATCTTGACTTGAAATAACGATTTCATATTCCCTAATTCCTTTGGCAGCTTTCCACCCAGGTGGTTAGAAGAAAGGTGGAGCACACCGAGGTTGATTGCCTCAACAAGCTCTATTGGTATACCACCGGAAATATTATTGTTGGATATCTTGAAGGTACCAAGTTTGTGGCACTTTCCCCAGTTTGGTGAAATGTGACCCTGAAATTTATTGTCACTCAAATCAATGTACTTCAAATTAGGATACACACCAAAATCTTGTGCTATATCTCCTTCCAATTGGTTTCCTTCCATCCTGAGTCTAGCAATAGTAGAGCAATTCTTTAAGCTTCTTGGCACTGGACCCGTGAAACGGTTGCCAAAAGCATTAAAGAACACTAGTGATCCAGAAGAGCAAATTTGAGGAGGTAAATGGCCCGTGAAATCATTCTCAGCTAGTAACAAGGAATACCAGTTGGTAATGTCAGTCAAGCCTTGTGGAATGCTGCCATTAAGCTTGTTGGTGGACAATTCCAAAATGGTGAGCATTTTCAAATTTCCAATTGCGTCAGGAATTGATCCAGAGAGATTGTTTGCTTGGAGACTAAGGGCATCTAAATTGATCAAATTACCTATAGAGGGAGGAATTGATCCAGAAAGATTATTAAAGCCTAAATACAACATGGTGAGCTTTGTCAAGTTTCCAATGGTGGAAGGAATGGGTCCGGAAAGTTTATTGTTATCGAGTCCAAGTTGCTTTAAATTGGCCAGGTTTTCTATGGAAGCAGGGATTGATCCAGAAAGATTATTGATTTCAAGGAAGAGCACGGCCAAGTTAGACATGTTCCATAAGGAGGATGGGATTGGCCCAGATAGTAGGGAGTTACGAGAAAGGTAAAGTTGATTTAAATTGCTCAAGTTACCTATCGTTTCAGGGATAGTACCAGAAAGAGAGTTTCTTGACAAATCAATAAGTTCAAGGTTTGTCAACATTCCAATTTCTTGAGGAATAGAACCAAAAAGCTTACTATCTTCAATACCTAGATACTCCAACTTGTGCAACTTTCCAATCCCTGGAGGAATGCGGCAAGAAAAATTGTTGCCACCTAAATCTAGAAATGACAGGTTGGACAAGTTTGCTATGGAATTAGGAATCTCTCCGCTTAGTTGACACAGGGAAAGATCAAGTTTATGTAAACTCCCTAGTGTCCACATTTCTTGAGGGATGGAACCATGGAAAGAATTTGAAGAAAAATTTAAAACATTCACTCTGGTTATATTACCAACTTGTCGGGGAATGGTCCCATGAAAGGAGTTTTCATAGATATTAAGGCTGAGAAGGTTAGGGAAAATGGAGAAGCTGAGAGTGTGAAGTGTACCTTTAAGTCCATAAGTTGGAAGATTTATGCTGGATACAGACTTAGAATTGTCACACTGAATTCCTTCCCATGTGCAGGGATTATTACCTCTCCATGTTGACAAGAGAGCTTGGCTGTGGTTGTCAAAGCTGTGTTTCCACTTCAACAAAGCATTTGCTTCACTGTCTTCAGCTGCAGCTTGAGGCCCCGAGAGTGTTAGAAAGACACAAAGAAATAGAACCAGCATGAACTTTTCCCTTTCAAAGGTGCATACCATGATTTTAGTGTAACAATGTCCGTGAATCAAGAATAAGAGGATATGGTGGTGATCATAGTAATTGGAGTACAGAGTTGCTTATAAATGAATAATCAAGTGGTATGTATCACGTGTGTACATTTGGTCCATTTTTTTTTTTTTTGGTTCAACTCTCGTATACTTTGTATTATTAAATATCTGCGTTCACATCATGGACTTGAATAAAATATGTATCACTTTTTTTTTTCTCCTGATATAAACTATTATGCAGTACCGTGGGAAAGGAAACGACGTATTGCGACTGGAGTGAAGATGAGTTTGAAGATAAGGGGAGTTATTATTAGTTTGACTGCTCACGACAAAGATGAGACCAAGAAAGAATAATGAGACATAAACAAAGAACTATGCTAAGTTTACTTACTGTTTCTTGGTTTGGTTTTTCACGCGTAGCCCTAAGAACTATGCTTAATTATTTAATGAACAATGTGAAACAATAATAATATTTTTAATTGAGAAGATACCTACCTGTTAGTGTGCGTGTTCTATTTAAGAATGCCATGTGGTATTCTCTCTTGCAGTACTATCTTAAATTTATATTATAGATAGGATAACTTTATATATATATATATATATATATATATATATATTAGTTTTACTCTACTATTTTTCTTAATTTATTGTTAATATTAAAAAGACTTAGAAAAGTTCAACTATCAGGACCTGGAGAGACTTAAACGAATCATTATAAAAAAATTCATTTAAATTTTATTAAAAAAAATTCATTTAAAATTTTATTAAAAAAATATAATATGATCCTGAAAAAAATATTTGTATGTAGTAGTTTTTTAAGATTAATTTTTTATACTATAAAAATAATATACTTCAAAAATCAAATAAAACATTTAAAGTTAAACTTTTTATGAATCTTAACAATAAGGATTTTTAATTTGTTGATAAAATAAAACTTTTACATTGATAAATTGTAATAATTAAACACGTTATTAACTATTCGTTTATTATAATTTTAAATAAAAAAAGCATGTGAATATTAGATAAAAAGAAACTCTTAGTTTTATAATGTTAATTTTTATCACTTTAATATATTTTAAATAAATAAAAAGACATAGATAACAAACATTGCATAATTAACATAAACTATAATGTTGTGTTAGCAGAATTTTGCAATTTGAATAATTTTTTATAATTTAAAATTTTAGTGATAAACACATGTCATAAAATTGAAATAAACAACAAGAAGAACATCCTCAAAATATTGTTTTTCTTTCTTTTATTTGGAGATAAATTTCACACACGATAATGCAAAACTTTACTTCTCAGCCATCTAAAATGGATACACTTCTATCTCGTTCTCTAAATTAAATTACAATAATTTGTAAAAATATGTCAATAGTTAAAAATAGCCTTATGTTACAACTTGAATTGTTCATTATTATAAATCGAAAGTATGATTTATATGTTCAATATATTAATATATTTATTATAATTTATTGACAATTCATGAATCTTATTCATACAAAAGTAAATATGTACAAAGTAAAACTCATATCGGTTTATTATTTCACACAACTGAAGTTAATTTTGGAGGAGCCTATGAATTTCAGTGATGGTTCACAAATAATGCTCTCATTGATCAGGTCTAATGTGAAGAAAGTGTTTTATCTGGTTGTTGGCCTTAAGCCACTGATTTTGGTTCTCATCCAACCCTTTTAGGTGTCGGCAAAAGCCAGAATTAACAGTGGAAATAATTAACCTAATTTGTTTATTTTCTTGAAGTCCACTTTGTTTATTAATTTGAGATAATTTGCTTTCCTCATGAAATCAAATCCCACTTAATCTTCCGTCCTCTTCTTCACTTTCTTCAACTCATCTCGTCATCAACCAGCAAATACTATTCATCAGGTCTTCTCCACTATTCCCTAATAAATCATAAATCACATTTTCTTAATTTTTTCTGCCATTAATATAGGATGAAGGATGATTTAGGATATTTAAGATATAAATTTTTAGAAAATTTAGGAATTTAGTGATAAGTTGGAAGGAAAAATTAGTCTTTCTAAAAGAAACATTTCATGTCAAAATATTTTGATTAAATAAAACATTCTTAAATCATTCAAGAATTTAGAAAAATATTTTCATTAAAAAAATAGATAAATTTTAATATTTTTAAATAAAATTTCACTTGTTATATTTGATAAAAACATGATTCAGTTTAGATTGAAATTTTATCATCAAAAATACAAAAATTTAATAAAAAAAATAAATATTAATAATAAATTATTTATCTAAGAATTAAAAATTACTTGATAAAAATAAATAAAGATTAATAACATCTATTAATTTAAGAATTAATATTATTTAAAGAATTAATATTATTTAATTTTTAATTATAAGTGAAATTGTGGCAGTAAAAATTGAATACATCTTTTTCATGTTTTAAATAAAGATGACTAAGTTTCAAATGGGATCCTTATTAATTAATTGATTAATCCAAATTAATACTTTGTTTTAATCTTGTCATGTCGACGTCAACTATTCTACAATGTGATTCACTCGTCACAGACAACACCTACGCCAAAATCGACAGCTTGTAACCACTAATCTTAATTATGGCTACATGGACTCTTGTCCCACTTCAGGCCATTATAATGGGTTAGGAATCTTAATAGCTAGCACTTCTTATGGTGAAGCAAACCATGTTAGAGACAACTTTCGTCCCCCTTATTAGATTTTGAGGGCACTTTCAATCTTATTAAAATCCTATTTTTCAATGGGGGAAATCATTATGTAACATTACCTCCCTCTTTTCTCATTCGCTGCTTCTTCCCTCATTCTTACCTAACATCCACAAGCTGTATAATTTTATATTCCTATCACACTCACAAAAGATTTTATCCATGATGCTTGAGGATGATGGATTCTTTCAAGGAACAATTAAAATTCTTAAATTCCATGTCTTATGGTTTTTTTTATTCACCAAGGAGGGTCTTACTACACAAAATATAAAACTATAAAATAAATATACGCAATGAAAACATATTAGTAAGTAAAAAACAATGGTTAGGGTCAAAGCTTTCATTACACGTAAATGCATGATATACAAAAAAAAAAAAGATCAATTTAACTCGACGAGATCTATCATTGAGTTTAATTTAATCCAAGAAAAGATTATTTAAAGAGTGTTAGGAGAAAAAAAATGTCTGGCACGTTTCTATATATCAAAGTGTTATTATTTCTACTTAGTTGTTAAAATGAAAATATATTTAAATTAAGAATAAATATAGTTTTAAAGTAAATTACATTTCACTATCTTGTGATTTATTTAAATGTCACCAACTCTAATTTATTTAAATATTACACTCCATATCTGTATTTTTTAAGAGCTATTTATATTCTTATGCATATTTTTTTTTAAGGAACTTGTATTATAAGTCATTAATTATATTACAAAAAATAGAAATAAATATATCTTAGGATACTTTAACTTTATTATTATATATATATCAGTTTTAGGTACTCAATTATATGTAACTACTTTTGAATTTAAAATTTTAGTGTAAATATTTGATTTGAGAAGTGATTTGAAATGTTAAAAAATGATATTCATTAATTTCTTCTATTATATATATATATATATATATATATATATAATGATAATAAATATATTGATTTTTATGATAAAAAATTTTAAAAATAAAAAATATTAAAAAATCCCTCAAAAGAGTTAATATAAAAATATAGACGAAATAAAAAATAAATAAATATTTTTTCAATATTTTAAACAAAAATACAAACTGAAAATTATAACCAAGAAAATATTCAATTTTTTAACTGGTCAAATTTAGATTAAAGATTAAAAGCACAATTCACAAAAGTTTACAAATGTAAACTTATTTTTTCAGTGAATCTACAGTAGTCTCTGACCAATTAATATAAAAAGTTGCCTTTCCTCATGTCCGTCATTACATAAGGAGAGGAAAGAGGATGAAAAGCCATGTGCTATGCTAAGCACTTTGCAAAGACAAACTACAAAAGAATGGGTCGCTCCATTTTTTACCTTCATCCTCTTCTTTCATCTTTTCTTCTTTTCACTTTGTTGCTGAATGCTGTCCATGCCAGTAAAAAGGTAGCCCTAGTCTACTTAATTGTTAATTGTTACTCGGTTTGAGTATTGTTATCAGTTTCTGCTTTGAGTATAAGGTGATGATTTTATACAGAGGATGTAATGATGGAATTTGGATGATATAATGATGGGTTACTTCGTTTTTTAGCTACACAACACCAATTGTTGGTTTTTGATTGTGTTTGTAGTGCTACATTGTGTACTTGGGAGCACATTCTCATGGTCCAAACCCTTCATTTTTTTACCTTGAAACTGCCACACATTTTCATTATGATTTACTGGGTTCGATCTTGGGAAGGTATATAAATTGATGAAGCCATTGAATTCAGCCTAAGCTCTGGTTTGCAAGAAACTGATTTAGTGATTATCTGTTTTGTGTTGTGTATGGTAATCATTTCACAGCCACGAAAAGGCTAAAGAAGCAATTATTTATTCATATAACAAACACATCAATGGCTTTGCAGCTGCACTTGAAGAGGAAGAAGCAGCAGATATTGCAAGTGAGAAAATCAATGTGTTCAACTAATTTTTCGTCATTTCTAAACTCTATTTTCATATTAGTTAGTTGACGCACAATGTTTCTACTGATGCAGAAAACCAAAACGTGGTATCTGTGTTTTTGAGCAAAGAGCATAAACTGCACACTACCCGTTCATGGGAGTTTCTTGGACTGCAAAGAAATGGTACCAACTCAGCATGGCAAAGGGGAAGATTTGGTGAGAATACAATCATCGCTAACATTGACACAGGTAACTTTACCATTTTACATCTTGCACTCGAACAATATTATACAAACTTCAACAACAAATTACTAACTACACGCTTCTTACACTTTATTATTGACAGAAATTTAGTAAAGATTGTGTATGTTTCATGTTCTTATTTTATTGTCTCATTCATGATTTTTTTTTAATAAATTTTGATCAATAAAAAAGTGATAAAAATATATTGGAGAATATATTATTGAGGATGTATAGAAGAAGGTTGATGATGCGATGGCATGTTAATTATAGGGTATTAGGTGCTTTCCAGTTTTCAAGTTATTTAATTTACCTAGTCGCCGACAAGCACTACAGACTTTCTTGAGTTGGCAAGATTCTTTTTTAGGGTTCAAAAACTCCAAGCAAGAAAGCTGGGATAGTTTATTCATTAAAAGTATAATATTTTATTTTTCCAATTAGTTCACATGGTGTGTTCCTCATTTGTAAATTGCAGAGGGAGAATTCCCATGAATTCGTGAATCTGAAGGTCTGAGTTCCAAGAAAAGATTTCCTGCGCAATCAATTGTTATGTTAGATTTTATGATTTATTTATTTAGACACCAATTATATATAAAAATATTTCTTATCAATTATTATATGTGCAAGACTACTGCTTAATACTTTTGTATTGGACAATTTATGCTCAAACTACATTATATGGGATAAAAGTTAATTTATCTGCATATATAATTAAAAATACAGATTTACTTTATCTCGAAGCATGATTTTTCATTAACTTTATGATTTTCATAACAGTCAAAAGATTTAGGGTTTAGTGCTTCAACACACACCCAAATGACCAAAGAGGTTGTAAGTTGAATTTAAATTTTTCTCATTTTTCTATTAGCAATTAATATAAAGCTTAAGAATTAATCATTGTGATGTAATAAGATTTAAAGAATTCCTTGTAGATAAGATTATGGGATTTGGGAATTATTATTTTTACTATTTATTTGAAGATGCTAATATGTAGGGTCTAGAACGAAAGATTGGTTTCTCTTTTTATATAATTTGTTATCCAGAATGAGATGTCTAGTTTCTGCAAATATTATCCTAACTTCACCCCTTTCACAGGTGTTTGGCCTGAATCTAAGAGTTTTACTGACAACGGATTAGGTCCTGTCCCTGCAAAATGGCGTGGGGGCAATGTCTGTCAAATTAATAAACTTCGGGGTTTAAACAAAGTTCCTTGTAACAGGTCCTCTTTCTTTTGATATTTCCCTATTTAGTAATTTAAGATTTCTAGTTGTATTAATAATTATAATATTGGATAAATAAAATTCTAAATTTAAAATTGTATATAAATATGTACAGTCTGAAATTTATATGTAGAAAGAAAAGAAATATATTTAATGGTTGATGTTTCTTGATGTATTTGGGTAGGAATATCCCTTGTACTTCATATTCAATACACTTGTTTTATCAGAAAAACCATCTTCGCAGATATTGTTTACATGTTATATAATTCAGGAAACTAATTGGAGCAAGATTCTTCAACAAAGCTTATGAAGCATTCAACGGTGAACTTCCCCGATCACAACAAACAGCACGTGACTTTGTGGGGCATGGCACGCATACCCTATCAACAGCTGGAGGCAATTTTGTCCCAGGTGCGAGTGTATTTGGCAATGGCAATGGCACTGCAAAGGGTGGATCCCCAAGAGCTCGAGTTGCAGCATACAAAGCGTGTTGGTCTCTCACTGATGCAGCTAGTTGTTTTGGTGCGGATGTGTTAGCTGCTATTGACCAAGCCATAAGTGATGGTGTTGATGTTATCTCTGTCTCTGTTGGAGGCCGAACTAGTCTCAGTGCTGAAGAAATATTCACAGATGAGGTTTCCATTGGAGCATTCCATGCACTTGGGAAAAATATTCTTGTTGTTGCCTCTGCGGGGAACGATGGACCTACACCTGGAACTGTTATCAATGTGGCTCCTTGGCTATTCACAATTGCAGCTAGCACACTAGATAGGGACTTCAGCAGTACCTTAACTTTCGGAAACAATCAGCAAATTACGGTATTATCATTATTGTTCTTAATCTATGATTTTACTACTAGTATTCTGCTATTTGTATAAGAAAAAAATCTCACACCTAACCCTCTGGTCATTGGCCATGTTTCGTCACATTATTTATCAAATCTGATCATTGGCCATTTTTATTCTCCGGGTGTGGACAGTAGACACTCTGATTTTACATGTCTACGACACATTATTCATAGTAAAAAAAGAAGATAAATGTATGAAGAATAACGTCGCTAATTAATGTTGTTATTGCTGTTGAATAATTTAACTTTGTTTTTATACTACCAGGGAGCCAGTCTTTTTGTAAACATACCACCAAACCAGTCCTTTTCTCTAATCCTTGCTACTGATGCTAAATTTGCCAATGCATCAAATCGAGACGCGTGAGTACAAATAATCTCAAAAGCATATATATGCTCAAACCTTGTTTATTGACTGACCATTAATTTATTTTCACGTGCCTTCTTCTTGCAGTCAACTTTGTAAGGCTGGGACACTGGATCCTAGAAAAGTAAACGGCAAAATAGTGTCATGCATTCGAGATGGAAAAATAAAATCAGTTGCTGAGGGTAATGAAGCTCTATCTGCAGGAGCCAAGGGAATGATTTTGGGCAATCAAAAGCAAAATGGGAACACACTTCTTGCCGAGCCTCATGTTCTGTCCACTGTCAACTATCCTTCAGGCCATACAAAAACAACACCTGGTTTTGACATAACTGCCACGTAATGATATATATCCTTTGACAATATATTAGATGATATCAAACTCTCGTTAATCTTCACATAACATGTATATATTTGAGTGTTAGTAATTCCTTTTTTTAAATTGAAAAACATGAATGCATGTCATGCAGATTAATCAAGAATCAGGACATAGTCTTTTTGAACTACCTAATAATAATTTTTCGTATCTTTCTAGTATGCCTTGATATTTTGTATGATGGCATGATACAAAAGAAGTGCTTCACTTATACTCACGTACGTTAACTATAAATGTTTCTATTTCAGGGACGATACAATAAACTCGAATACGACAATAAGGATGTCTTCAGCAAGAACATTGCTAGGAAGAAGGCCAGCTCCAGTTATGGCTTCATTCTCATCAAGGGGACCCAATAAGATTCAGCCATCAATACTCAAGGTGCATACTAGTGTTGAAATATTTGGTATCAACTATGTATATTGTACACTTCTTATAATATTGTTTCACTGTTTGATAGACTTGTTTTGTTTAATCTGTTATTTTAGCCGGATGTAACTGCACCTGGTGTGAACATACTTGCTGCTTATTCACTATTCGCAAGTGCTTCTAACTTGCCATCAGACACACGTAGGGGGTTTCCATTCAATGTATTGCAAGGCACTTCTATGTCTTGCCCTCATGTTGCTGGCATTGCTGGACTCATCAAAACACTTCATCCTGATTGGAGTCCAGCTGCTATTAAATCAGCAATTATGACAACAGGTATCTCTCTCTGTATATATATACTTTATTCGAAGATACATCAGTTTCTTATTTTCAGTTTCTTTTTGGTAAAAGATCACAAACTTTCATTGTAAATAATGTTTCGAACTATTTTTACTAATTATCACAAAAAAATACACGACAATACATATAATTGTTAAATTATTTCTATTTCATTTCATAACAATTTCTCTCTCCAGGTCTGTGCTGGAGTTTTCTCTTAAAAACTACTAATCTCAATCATACAATCATAACATGAATGAACATAACTAACACACACTTCTCTCTAATATAATATGCGTGTTCCATTATTTTTCTTCTTTGGCAATTTGTAAATATACTCACCTAAAACATGTCCTTGCAGCAAGCACAAGAGATAACACCAACAGCCCAATACGGGATGCGTTTGATAAAAAATTGGCAAACCCTTTTGCTTATGGTTCAGGACATGTGCAACCAAACTCTGCAATAGATCCTGGACTTGTTTATGATCTAAGCCTTGTCGATTACTTGAACTTCCTATGTGCTTCCGGATACGACCAACAACTCATTTCAGCACTCAATTTCAACAGAACATTCATTTGTTCAGGATCTCAGAGCATAACAGACTTGAACTACCCTTCAATCACATTACCAAATCTAGGGTTAAATGCAGTAACTGTCACTCGCACCGTCACCAATGTTGGGCCACCAAGCACATATTTTGCAAAAGCTAAATTACCTGGATATACCATAGCTGTTGTACCCAATTCCTTGAGTTTCACAAAAGTTGGTGAAAAGAAGAGATTCAAGATTATTGTACAGGCTACAAGTGTAACTAAGAGGGGAAATTATAATTTTGGGGAATTGCTTTGGACAAATAGAAAGCACATAGTCAGAAGTCCTATAACAGTTCGGCTGCGCAAATGAAAACTTTATCCTTGGAGTTAGTTGTGATTATGATATCACTTGGCATTGAAGGACCCTTTCTTATTTCATCCTTTTTTTTTTGTTATCACAGTAATTTGCTTTGAAATATGATTGATGCCTGAAATTTGGTTCATTTTACAATTCTCTTCAATTTGAGATGCAAGAATGCAACTGATGTTTGTAGGATTATCTTGATCGTGTGTTTTCATTTGGGATTAAGTTGTTGCTTTAAAAAGAAACTGTTTGCAAAAATAATTGTTTGTTTTCACAAAAGTTAAATTTTGTAAAAACAATTGTTTTGAAAAATGATGCATTTTCTTATATTTCAAAATTTTTAATTTATGATCATTTTTTGACAATTTTTTTCTGAGTTTTGTTTCTTTTTTTTAATGTAAAAGTTATTTTTTTAATTAAAATAAAATTAATTACGTCTGATGTAAACTGTCCATAAATCAATCAGTGTTAGCTAAAAATAATTTATATTTATATTTAAAATATTTTTTTACCCTTAAAATAAATAAATATCTCCAAAGTCTAATTAATTTAAACAAATTTAACAAAATATAAGATTTTTAACATATAAAAAATCACAATACAATGACAAAATGGAGAATTTATTCTTATATATAAAAAAATCTTAAATGAGCTAATATTTGAGAGAAAAAAAGTCTATGAATATTAATTTATCATTAATAATTAACAATAATCATTAAAATCTTTAATAATGAACAATAATTATTAAAATTTATTATCTTTTCCAAACATTTAATGATGAAAAAAATTAAATAAGAAAATTATAGAGTCTACATTAAAATATTTAGATTGTATTCCTATTGTTTTGAACTGCACCGGATACCATGGTGGAAAATAATAAGCATCCACTCCTTTTTAGGATCTGTGTGGAACATGACAGAAAATAAAGAAACAGAGTGAAGTTATGGATTTATAAATTATGAAATAAAAAGAAAAACGGGATGAAAGTGAAAAGAACCAAGAAGAAGTGATTTACGATAACAATAATATAAACCACAATTAAAATTAATAGGAAAGGGATATGATGGAGATACAATATCAGAAGATGCATTCAAACAATGCTCTTAAGAAGATACAGTAAAAGAAACAAAACATCATCAAACTTTGATTGCAAATACAAATAATTATTCTTGGAGCTTGGTTGGATTCAAGGTAGAATTTGGCTTGGCCATTTAGGGAGAACAAGGGACATAACATTATTTGAAATGCGCATATCTTCATCCACCCTTGCTGTGAACACACACTCCAATTTCTGGTTTTCAAAATCACACAAGAAAATACATTTCTTTGAATACAAATACATCTTATTTTCACAGTGAGGATGAAAAGCCAACAAGTTCATATTCTTGATATTTACTTCTCCCTCTTCAAAATCATACTGTTTAGTGAACCATGACCCTTCTTCAAAATTTACAAATTCATAAACTAAAACTTCCGATCTTGTCTTTGAAATTTCACAGGCCTTAACTTGCCCATTGCATGTATTCCATTGAACACTTACATCAAGAAAAGGACAAGGAATCCTCATGGGTATTATTTTCCACACCCCACCATTAAACGGATCACACACAAAAAAACCATGTAGTCCCATCCACCAAACAAACTTTTCATTATAGATAAAAATGTTTCTAGATGTATTTGACAATAGAGCTTTGCCAACCTCGAAAGCACTCATGTTCACTTCAAACTTTGTCCATTCACCTGTCTCAGATGAAAACAGGTTCACTTCAAACTTTGAAACGTATTGAAAACAATTGACAGGTATGTGCACAACACGAAACCTTGACAGAGATTGGTCACAAATGAAGCCTACACGAGGCAATTCTTGTGCATGACTCTTCTTTAATTTGGGCAAAGCTACATGTTGTTTTGTGAAAGGGTTGCATACGAAATAGTTAGTGTAACAATAATTGTGAGTACGGCATAAAACTAGGTCGTAATGTGTGCCTTTCACTTTGACTCGATCCCAATCCAGAGGCCAACAACGAGGGAGAAAATCAGACCCTCTTAATATATGAGTATTGTTGTTGGAATCTACAGGGAAAAGCATAATCTTGTTGTAGTTGGAATCCAAATGTAAGTGAAAGAGGAGAAACAGTGCATGCCTTTCAAAAGCACTAGGTAACGATTGGGGATGTGTCGGACGCGAGTGAATGAAGAGTGGATCAGAAATCACACGCAGAAACTGTTTGTTGAAAGATTTGCAATGAAGAAGAAAAGGAAAGGGTGATTGGAGAAGAATTTCACCAAGTAGACCATCAGGGAGTTTATCCATCATCCCACGTTTTTAACACTTCTTTGTTCAATGTGCTCGGACCTCTAGTGGGTTTATATAACTTGGTACTGTGTATAATAACTGATAAAAACGTTTTTATTTATGTGATCCATTAATTGTTCTCGATATTTCTAATAAAGTATTTAAAGAATTTAATATTTTCCATAAAAATACAGTAAATAACATTAACTACGGATTTTATCCTAGATAATAAGCATTTTTTTTAGTGAAACAACATATAAAATAAAACAAATAAAAAGTAAATGAGAAAAGAGAATATAAGATAAAATGATTTTTTTATTTTATTAAAAAAAAGTAATGAAATAAAATTAATAGTAAATTACTTAAAAATAATATGATATGATATATCTATATTTAATATTTTTCAATATTACAATATATTAGAGATGCACAATTTTAACCAATTTTTTAAGTTATTCATAGAATTTATAATAAAATAATTATTTTTATTTATGAATATTTGTCGATAAAAACTTCCTTTTAAGCAATATTTTACTCAAGTATTTCACCAAATTGATAAAAAATATAATTAGTTTCATAAAATTACTGATTTTTCTTTTTCAATTTTTAAATTTAAACCGACTCTTACAAATTTTGATAGATAATTGACCGGTTACTCACGTTTTAAAAATTTTACATAACAAACACATTACACGAATATTTGATGATATTTTAACAGACGAATGTTTGATGATATTTTAATTTAATCTTTTAAATTAAAGTTTGAATGATTTCATAGTTAAAGATGTAATTTATTTTTAACGGTCAATAACGTAAATATTTAAATTTGAGTCATTAATCAACATACAAAATAAAACAAATAAAAAGTAAATGAGGAAAGAGAATATAAGATAAAATGATTTTTTTTATTTTATTAAAAAAAAATTAATGAAATAAAATTAATAGTAAATTACTTAAAAATAATATAATATGATATGATATATCTATATTTAATATTTTTCAATATTACAATATATTAAATTTTAATATAGTAATTTAAGTAAGAGAATAGGTGAGAGAGGAGAAAGAGAAACAAGAGACTTGAGATAAAAAAAAAATGAGAAAAAAAAAACATATAGAAGAAGAGAAAAAATAAAAAAAATTATTATAAAAAAGAAGAAGAAAACTATATGTGAAAAGTAAATTTGTCTAGGTAGATAAATAAATTCACATAAATTTTATCTCGATTAATTTTTCTTTTAAAATATATTATTTATGAATTAATACCCAACATTAACTGTTTTATTTCTAATATTTAATTAGTTTATATATATATATATATATAAATATTTTAAAATATCAAATATTAATAATATCTCAATCATAATTATATAAATTAAAATAATAATTTAATATTTTTTTACCTTATTTTAAAAGATAATAAAATATCTTAATATCTAATTTAAATAAAAGATAATAAAATAATATTTTTAATTGTTTCTATATATCAATGAGTCATGATATAGGAAGTCATCATGACAGAGACTTGAATACTCGAGGAGTAGGATGTCGATGGGATGGGATGGGGCGGGTACAGGTAGTAGCTCCCAGTTACCCTCCCCATTGGATAAATATCCGCCTTGTACCCGATCCTGTATTTGTATGAATATTCGCATTTTTTTAATATTCGTAGATATCCATGGATATCCGTGGATATTTAAAAAAATTCTAAAAATATTTAACAAAATATTTTAACTATAAAAAGTTATAAAAAATTTATATAAAAATCTATAAAAATGGTATAAAGTTATAAAAAATTGTATGGTTATTAAAACCTAAAAAAATCAATATAAAAATCTATAAAAGATCTATTTATAAAACTGAATTTTAAACATTTAATCAAAGATAACAATATCCAAATAAGATATAATATCACTATCATAAGTTTTAAATAAAATCCAAATAAACTCAAATTCATACAAGTCCAAATAAAATTACAAAAATAAATATTAAATCACGTTCAACACAATAAAAGTTTTTTAATCCGTGTTTAGATCAATGACTTCACTTTCGCTGTGTTTGTTTGAATTGATTTGCGACGAAATACTATTCACGAAGACAGAAACACGACATTCACACACGTTTGGTTGAACTGATTTGCGACGAAATGCAGGCGAGGAAAAGGGGGAGATGAGAGAGAGGGTTTCTTCGCTGAGGTGCGAAGAAAAGAGATGAAAGTAATGAAAAGTCGCAGTTACCCTGCAATATATGATAGCGGTTAAATCCTAACCGCTATTATAACAGCACTTCTAATAGCGGTTAAGCCTTAACCGCTATCTAATATACACTTTAGATAGCGGTTACAGAGGAACCGCTATTATATCAAATTTCGCTCGAGCGAGATATAGTCGCTCAAGCGAAACACAACCCCAGACGCAACAAGGTTGTTAAAAGGAGCTTATAATAGCGGTTAAACCTTAACCGCTATCTAATATACACTTTAGATAGCGGTTACAGAGGAACCGCTATTATATCCTCCAATTATGATCGATCATTTCACGTTATGATCGATCAGAATCAAATTTCGCTCGAGCGAGATATAGTCGCTCAAGCGAAACACAACCCCAGACGCAACAAGGTTCTTAAAAGGAGCTTATAATAGCGGTTAAACCTTAACCGCTATCTAATATACACTTTAGATAGCGGTTACAGAGGAACCGCTATTATATCCTCCATTATGATCGATCATTTCACGTTATGATCGATCAGGATGGTATTTCGCTCGAGCGAGAGTATAGTCGCTCGAGCGAAATACAACCCGAATCTTAAAATATTTTTTAATTAAAAATATTAGTCGGCTGATATATCCTTACCAAATACAGAAGTAGAACATTAACATAATTAGAAAACAAGAACTGATTTAAATGGTACCAAGAAACCAAAGAACTGATTTAATTCACTAACACCAACTTATCATTTACAGTGCGCACTCAATCTCTAAAAAAAATTCATTCAGCCACGAGCGTGTAGCACAATTGACACCAGCTCAAGCTTTGAGACCAGAATGCAGTCTCTAGGTCGGAGGTTAGTTCACTGTTCCCTGCTTTTATCAAGAGTTGACAACACCAATGTAAAATGTAACAAGAAAAACAAAACATAAACACACACAGAGTTACTTTCTTTTTATAAGGAAGTTTTTAAGGATTCCATTAATAACTAAGTTCACAAATAATGTTTCGCAACCAACGGGAGTTGGGTTTAGCGGAAGAAACTCCTCTCCCATAATGTGACAAACCGAGGTTCGAATCCTATTGAAAGAGATGGCAGCAAATGGTGCCTGAGAGTGTTTAAACAAGATTGACTCTCGGATTTTACAAAGCTGAGCCATTTAACTGAAGGTTCTTGTGAAACCCAGAGACGAAAGAAAAGTCAACCAAAAATCCCAATCAACGAAGCAAGCATATTAATCGAGATCCTATAAGCAATTCCAAATTGGCAAACTCTCTCTACATTAATTCGCAAAGCAATCCGGGATCCAGATCTCCACCGACTAGATTCACCAATTCTTAAAAAGGCAAAGGAAAACGCACAATGCAAGCAAGCAAGTGGAAGCTGTTGCTTATAATTACAAAGTGATTAGCGACACATTGCGTTGAGTAAATGCACACGAGGCTTCCCGGCACGACGCTCACGCAATCCTTGCATCCCCGAACCTTCTCCTCGCCGATGAGCGGTCGCACGTGGACCGCCACCTTAACGCAACAATCCTCACCTGCTTCCACCATCACAATAAATAGACAGTCGAAACACAAAACACACCTCAACTGAGAGTAGTGCGTGGTGTGGTTGAGCTGAATGCGAAAGAGATCAATTCAATTCAATTGGTCCTTTGGCTCATTGTGTTCATTCTTCGCGCATTGTGTGCGGAGGACAGAGAAAGAGATAGAAAAAGAAAGCGTTGTTGTGGTTGTTGTTTTTGTATTTCGCTCGAGCGAGATATAGTCACTCAAGCGAAACACAACCCATACTTTATAATAGCGGTTAAACCTTAACCGCTATCTAATATACACTTTAGATAGCGGTTACAGAGGAACCGCTATTATATCCTCCAATTATGATCGATCATTTCACATTATGATCGATCAGGATGGTATTTTGCTCGAGCGAGTATAGTCGCTCGAGCGAAATACAACCCGAATCTTAAAATATTTTTTGAATATTATGTTTTTAAATTTGCTATTAGACAAAACCTTTCAGAATTCAAAATGTTAAATAATTTTAAATATTAAAATTAACTTTATCAAAAATTAGGGAAACAAAATTTATCCAAAAGAGTTCAAAATGTATAAGAGTATTCTCAATTTTGATGTTTAATTATATTATTAATTCTCAAAGTAGAAAATTATATTGTAATTATTTTATCGCAAGTTAATGTGATGAGACGATCATAAACATTTCAACATTCGGAGTCAGATATATGGGACATCTTCGTCTCTCCCAGTTGTTCATGTTCTTGAGTGGAAGTGATTGAATGATCTGAACTGGAGGACTTGATCGCAAAAGATGAATAACATTATAATTATTTGTTTGAAGAACATTAGTGTGCATAGGTTTAAAATTTTAGTAATGTTTCATTTAATTATTATTCTATTTTCACAGTATTTTATATTTGTTTTAAATAATAATGTATAATTATATTATTAGTTTTCATAATTATTTGTTACTATCAGATCAATATTAATTATTATTTTATATTTTATAATTATTTAATTATTAGTCAAATAATTTATTTAATATGTCAACATTATTTGAATATGGATATGCAATGTAAATAATTTTGTAATTGTTTATTTATATAATTTTTAATAACTATCTAAAAAAAGTTAATTTTTTAAATTTGTTTCCAATTACAAACACTTTTAATTTTGTTTTTTCTTTTAAATATATAATCAATGTTAAAATATGGATAATTAATTAAAAATTTATATTTATAATCATTTGAACCTTATTTTATACAAAGGGTAAAATGGTAATTTTCTTAAATAATCAACATAAAATTATAATTTTTATATCTCATATCAATCAAATCATTCACAATTTTCCATAAACATTCCATTCATCTCCATTTCTCTTCAAATCCCTCCTTTTCCACTCTCTCATTTCCACTCTCTCAAATCACTCCAACCAAACAAAGTCTTTATCTTATTGATTCCTGAAAAATAAACAAATCAAATTCACTAACAATTGATATTGTTGATTATATCTACTCTTTATTTAATATTTAATTAAGTTACATATATATAGTAATATAGAAATAAAATAGGTAAAATAGAGAATTTAATAGCTATTTATTAAAGTAAAAAAAATTATTAAATTTGTTGATTTCTTAAAAAAAAAATTACACTTACAAAAAAACGAGGGGCATTAATAATTAATTACTCCCTTTATTTCCATAATTTCTTTTTAAGGTTGCGTTAAATATGGTTTTTCAAAATTATCCTTAATATATATATATATATATATATATATATATATATATATGTATATATATACATATATATCAGTTGTGTTTTATTATTGGTGAAGTTTTTTTACAAAAGACAAATGGACAGATGCATTTCTACCATTTATTTGTCGGCATTTTTACAATTTAGTCTCTCTCAGGGGTTGTTTACTGATATATTTTTAAAAATATATTTATATACTAAATAATTTATAATTTAAAATATTATATATTTATAGTTATTATAATTTAAAATATAAAAATAAATTAAATTTATAATTAAAAAATTTAATACGTACATGTAATAATTTTTTTAATTTATTCAATAAAAATAATAAATACAATTTAAAAAAAGTATTTATATAATAAAAGTATATATTATTTTAAATATATAAAATGAACTTATGAGAACTCTAGGTTAGTTCGTTCCATTTTATTTTTGTTGGACTAAAAATAAGGCAAAAAAATTTCGTCCTATAAGATTTGTAAAAACACAATATTGTGTTTAATGTAAATAAGTTTCGAATTCAAGGTCATTTCATAATATTTCTAAAATGTTTATAGAGGGAATCTAAAATTTAAATAATGTCAAAAATCATTTTCAATTTTAACTTTTCAAAAAAATTTGGGTTTAATATTTCCAAAATAGTAATATTATATCCCCATTTCATAATTCGAAATTTAAAGAAAAATTATGAATTTTTTTTAAGAGATCATATATTTATAAATTCATTCATTTGAAACTTTTCTAAAATTTACAATTCAAAATAGCCCATGCTTTTGGATCACTTACTCGTAAAACTAAAAATACTATCGTCTCTTTAAATAATATAAGGTACATAAAAAAAAATCAAGAAGGATACCTATGACAAAATTGGGTTAATTAACCCTTTTTATCACCAGTAATCTTTTTTAATAATTAATTTAAATAGTTTTAATTTATTTTCAAATTAATTACTTTCTAAATTAAAATGGTACATTCATTAAAAACATGAAGTTATGCTAATAAAATTGACTAGAAAAGTGTTATAATATTAACAGAATATTAAACTTCAGTTATAATAAAATGTATTAATTACAAAAATAAAACTGGTAAAATGCAAATTACACATTCCACTAAAAAACATAAAATAATAATTTTTAAATAAATACATTAATTACAATAATAAAGACCTTTGAATGATCAATAGCACAATAACTTTGAAATTAAAGCTATTCAGATTATAATAATTTATCTATTTTACTTCATAAAGGAAAACTCTCTTTATATTTATTTTTCATACGATATTATTTGAAAAAAATAAAAAGCATATATATAATAAAAACAATTGATATATTTAAACATATAATTGATAAAAATGATATTTTATTTTGATTTTTATTTTTTTATAGGAAATCTTTATATCTTTATTTCTTAACAAATCACAAACATAGTGAATATATAACAGATAAATAAATGGAAAAAAAAATCAAATACACCCGTATTAAAACCATTAAACTCGATTATTCTCCTCCCAATAATTAATAATGGAAAAAAATATTGCATTAAAAACTCACGATCTATTAATATACTCCAGTATTAAATAAAATTTATCAAAAAATTAAGAATGAAAATACTTGAAATCCTCTTCTTTGAGTTTTTTTTTTTTTTACATTTGAAGATAATTTTTTTTATTTTATTCTAATATTATTTATTTTCAAAATTAAAAAATTTAACAGAACTTTTTTTTTTTTACTTTTAATTTTTCAATATACAATTTAAAAAAAAAACTAAAACTCCTATATATAGTAAATGAATACACGACTTCAAATATTATTAGTTATAAAAATTTAATATTATTTTTACTTTAACTATTTTTAAGAATTAAAAAAATATGAACCAAATAAATTTTTTGCTATTGATCCTTTATCATTTATCTATATTATTAGTTTTATTTTAGTTCGTTCATAAGTGTTAAATACTCATGTTTTTATCCTTAGATATAAACACTTATCTCATGTAATTACAATGAATCAATAGTAAAAACTCACACTAGCATCTAATTGTTTACATTATTGAGTGTTGAAGAATAAATTGTCAAACTAATGCAAATATTTTCAAAATGCATGTGAGAAACAAAAAGATTGCAACACTAGGTGTAAAGCACTTAATGGATTTCTATCCACTAAGCGAATCTATGGTAGAGAGACCATTTTCAAGAGGACTCAAAGCGTTGAATGAATTTTTCCAAAGCGAAACTGGGACAAAGAAGATTAGTTCTAAGACAATAAAAAAAACTTAATTAGCGTTTTTGAATCTACTGAAGATTTACAGAGTAAACCCTTGTGAAAGATAAAAACGTTCAGCGGATAAGAATCCACTAAACAGATAGAATCCTTCAAAGTGAAAAAACCTCATGGCGCTGAACGAATGGATTAAATAGCTGCAAGGTTCCTTAAATATAAATAGAAGAAAATGAAAAGAAAACAATGACAAAAAAATAGACGATAAAAAAATAAAGTGGACTTTTAGGACCTAGTGTCTATTAGATCAGAGAGCATATATGCAACTTAAGAAAAAATATTTAGTAGACAAAACTATATATATTTATTGTAAAGGGTTACTGTTTATATAGATAACAACAGGTAATGCATAACAAAAAATGAAAATCAAGATGATGACAGTGTTTGGTTTCCAAGATGTTGTAGAGATTATCCAAGAAGATATAGTAGAACTTGGCAGTAAAGCTACAGAAGAAGAGAAAAAGTTCTTTAAACAGCAACAAAAGTTGGACAACAAAGCTAGATTTTTGTTATATCAATGTGTAAATTCAAAGATATTCAACAAGATATGCAAGGCTAAAACAACCAAAGAGATATGGGAGATCTTGCTGAAAACTTATGGTGATGGGGACAAACACAAGAAGGTGAAGTTACAGGCACTAAGAAGGAGATTTGAGTTTCTTCTTATAGAAGAGAATGAATCTATTGCAGATTATTTTGACAAGATTCAAGAGTTGGTAAATGCTATAAAGACATGCAATGATCCTATCACTGAACAACAAGTGGTTCACAAAATTCTACAATCACTTCCCTCCAAGTTTGATCACATGGTGATAACGATAGAAGAGACTAAAGACTTAGAAACAATGGGGATATATGAGCTTCAACACTCGTTAGAAGCACATGAATACAGAATTTATGAAAGAAAAGTGATACATGAGTAGGTGTTACAAGTCAGAACAGGTTACAAGGGCAAGTTCAAAGGAGAAAAGAAAGATCGAAAACAGTGGAAGGGAAGCA